TATTAGAAAGAGGGCTGTCTTAGCCAGAGAAATTCAGGTTTTGGTAAACATATTATTGCCGGCTTCACGCTGGTTTCAGATAAAAGCCATACTAATTGCCTAAGGATATCATATATTGAATCAGGTCTTTATAAATGGGGTAGTAATACGGAAGTTAGAAGTAGAGGTCTGTAGTTCATACGTTATGTTGAGGAGTATACAGGATGTTCAGAAAATTACCCAACTTCATGGGCGAATAATTCATGTTGTAGGCGCTTGAGTTTATCTTCTCGTACATACCTTTTTCGTTATTTTTTTCTGACCGTTTTTTTTTATTGAATATGATGAAAAAGTGTACCTTGAAACAAAGACAACGAGAACAATTCGAAAACAGTTGCCTAAGGACATCGCGAACTTAACTTGAGCTTTTGAATCGCTGGTGACGTTTCAACGAAATTTATGATCCTAAATTATTCCTAAATTAGTTAGTTTCATTTATATATACAGTGTGTATATATATTTTTTATGTAAACATTTTTTTATAAAAACGTTTATATATATATCACTGTTTGAACGTCTTTTAAAAAAAAATTTTAAAAAATCGACAGAAGGATACCATTAAGACGATAAAACTTGGATGAGGTTTCCATGCAGCTCTAAAAACACCCTACGTTATATTTATTTTAGCATAGACGCTAAGCTTTGCCGTTACTAGTTCGCAACTCTGTTCGTAGCATTAAATTAGCGGAAATAATTTTTCATAGATGAGAAAGGAGTAAGTTGAATGTTATCCATGGCTAACATTGACTCTATTATTGGTCGTAGAATGCAGTGTCTCTATTATGTTGTAAAAAATGCCTTCCATTACAATATGCATTTTTAAACTTTGCATTTTTTTTTTACCTGACCAAATTATAACCTCTCTCCGGACCATGAAAATTGGAAGAATAGTTATACGTAAGAGATCGAGTGAAGAAATTAAATCTAGAGTAATTAATTCAGCTTTGAAAGGCATAATTATAGCATTTAATGTATGATCACTTCAAAGGTCAATTATTCTAATTTATCGCTTTTCTTACACTGAACATTCTTTACCAGTCGTCAATGCTTTATTTAGTTAGAATAAACGTATTTGCGTTTTTTAAAACTGTATATTAGTAAATTGCGTTCTCAGAATTCAAGTGGGGTTGACTGAGCTACTTTTAAACAAAGTTGGTGATACGTATAGGTTAGATCTTCGTGCGCATTTTATTGCTTTCTTACGTATATATTTGTTATAAGTTTGAGTTTTTCTAGAAGAGATTATCATTCCCATATGGATTAACGAAGAGTGTAATAAGTTAAAAACGAACATGGAATCGACTCTAGATGAAGCAAAGTGTACCTTTCGATGGATATTTAAGTCCATTTATAGGCTTAAGAAGTAGGCCATTTGGGTGCCCACAATAAATTATTTTGCCTATTTTCTTACCGGTGTCGGGGATACGCCTGTTGCAGGAAAGCGAAGGCTTCCGTGAGAAAAGTATTATGCCGAGCAAATACCATAACATGACTGACACGCAGTTAGCTCAAATTGAGCTATTTTATACAAAATCTCTCTATGAAAGAGGACTCATAGAGCTGCGTTCGGAGGTTCAACAGTGCCAGCAGTTGGTGGTGCCAGCAATGGGTGGACACGAGGAGAAAAAGGAGTTTCTCGATGTATTGGATCTCCGCGACAAAGCCGTAGTAGTTGAAGCCAATCAGGTAATATGCAGCACGCTTTGGATCAGGGTAGTACTATAAACCCAGTATCAGTGGAGAAAGGCGCTTTTACGTTTTTCTGTCTTCATCTAGTGCCTTTATTAGAATCAAAAATTGGTACGCGCTAATTTTTATACTGCCATTTTTGCTGTCAACGGTTCCTTAGGTTATTTATAATATTATATAGCCATTGCAGTGCAATAGTTCGACAAAGTTATCTATAGTGTTAGCCATACTGTTAACTCGAATCTGTCGCGCAGGAAAACGATTGTCACACACTGGCGCCAGACCATTCTGATGAAAGTGGAGCTACAGACGACGAAACTCTGGATATAGAGAATCAAGAACACAGTGATTTAACTGTTCCCCAATGCCATCGCTGTTCTCGATCATTTCTCGACCCTGCAACCTTTGCATCGCATGTAGCTCAGTGTAGAGTCCACTGCCGGCAACCATGTCCAAATTGCGGTCTTCCGTTCGCTTCCCGCCTTCAAAGAGATCGCCATATGAGGGAAGCTCACGGTCTTGCCAGTGTATGGCCATGTCCCCATTGCGATGCAGGCCATTTTTACACCGAGAAGTATGCATAATTAAACCACATTTATGGAGATTATGTGTTATTCACAGTTAAAATGATACATAGTATTAGTAAAGCTTCAGCCCTGCAGGGTTTTGCGCGAACCGAGATTCTCTTTGTTATCTGAAGAGCGTAGATTACTTACCCTGTGGCGTTACTGGTTTTCACTTTTTTGCTTTGTTTGTCAACAGCGAAAATATAGCAACATTAATTTTACATTAAAAATTAATCGAACTAGGTGAATAAACTCAAATTAAACTATTTTGTTTAACATATATGAAGGGGTCGTGACTATCACATCTACAAACTACATTCGACAACGCTGAGTGAAACGAACCGGATAAAACTTGTAGAGAAGTATGCCCAGCCATGCGGTATGTGTGATTTTGTGTCGTGGAGTAAGAAAACTCTCCAGGTACATCGGAGATCGGAGCATTTCGCTGTCGAGTGGTCAATTCATTGTCCGGCTTGCGCATGCGGTATGAAGGATCGAGAGGATCTGGAACGCCACGTTGAACAGAAACACGCTCAAGACCCTAACTGGTGAGATCATCTATAAAAAATTAGGTGGGAAATGATCATATTAACTTATATTGTAGACTGGAATGATTAAAACGAAAAAATTGCGAGTCTACAACAAGAGCCTAAAGAATGCCGTTCAGCTCCTGTTTGACGTACTTAAAATTGATTTTTGAGCAGATCATCCTCCAACCAACCAAGAAAGATTTGTTGATTGATTTCATTACGACTAAATGGCTGAATTTCTGAAGTGCCTCGTTGTAATGAAGGAGCTTCAGTTGCTAATAAAGTTCTGAAGCTGGTAAAAGGACCACCAATCCATTTGATAAAGATTAACGATAACAACTGTCTTTGTTGTGAAGACGGAAGGCGCGTATAGGGTGAAGAAGAGTACCTGCAGTTCTGTTTCAGGGCTCTGTCAGGCTCAAAGCAACTGTAACTTGCTTCCCGTCAAATGGTTTAATCGACCCCTGATGGTAACTATCATGATTAGACTGAAGGTTTACTAAAAAGTGTTTACACCTTTACAGTGTACCTCCACGCGGGTCGGTGGACGCTGAGTATTACCTCGGAGCCATGAGCAGGGAGTTGCACAGTTGCTATTATGTTTGTGCTTCTCTTTGCGCTCCTCGGCGCTATTTATCGTCGAATCTTTGTTCATGGATCTTTTCCAGTTCTTCTCTCTTTCTCGTTATGCTTTTAAGCAAAGTCATCTCAACGATCCATGGCATCTGCGCTCTAATCATGTCATCGGTAATTTCTTTAATTGTCCTTTATGTACGACTGCGCCCCATTTCGCGCTTCATGTTTTTGAAGAGCTCTACATTTAAAGGTCGGTACAAAGTTCGTCCGATATAAATCGCAGAGGACGTAGATGGCGATCTGGCTTTTCCCAATTTTCTCCATAGCCGTTTGAAATTGCCCATGCCAGTAGGCGTCTGAGTTGCTTTATGTGACAACCCGTCATGTGGCCCGTCAAACCGCTTTTTTATGGGTCCAATAGTGCACGTCCTGAAACAAATATCTAACTCTGCGCCAACTTACAGAGCCCAATCGACAGGTTAAGGGGTCATATTGGGTTTTATTGTTTAAGTGCGAACGACACATTTTTAATTAACAGGTACATTTGCCTAAGCTGTTTACGAGCGATTTCACGGTTAGGAGACGATGGCGCTGCCGCCATAGCTCATCGCAGCCTCCATGAACAAAACAATGGGGAGCTCTGCCAGCAATGCGGAAAGCTCTTTGAGAATGCGGATTCGCTCACTTTTCATCAACTCAAAGCCCACCAGGGTCCGTTAAAGGACCACCATTGTGGTGTTTGTGATCTTCGTAAGTATCAACTAGGATCTATCACAACGATGTTCAGTAGTGTTTGCAGTTTTCTGTATTTGCTCAAAAATCAAGCGGCTAATTATGCGGTGTTTAGAGAAAAACTCGTTTGAATGCTCAAAGCTAGTACCCTTTGAAGCCATCTCAAAATCCGCGTCATGATAATAATGATGGAAAAGTAAGCCGTAGTATAATGCGTATAATTAGTGCCACAACGAACCTCGTTTTACGTCATTAAATGCATTCTGAATGTGTACTTAAAACTGGCACTATGTCCTTTGAGACACGTATTAGTCTAAACATGAATTTTCGAAAAAGGAAACGAAATTTATAACAAAATGTTAGATGATAATAACCACAATTTCCTTTAATTATAGCTCAACGTGACTATCGACACCTAGTTTTCCATATGAATGCTCATCATAAAAGAGGGACTTCACCGTCACTCGACGACCCTTCTACTGAAAATCACATTACCCGGGGTGCACACTGTTCAGGCACAATTGGCACTTCTTCAAAGAGGCCCTCCTCGTTCATTTGCAGAGACTGTAATCGCTCATATGAGGCGAAATCACAATTGATTGCTCATCAGGTATTTCTTATAAAAATAAGTCATAACTTGATTGGAAAGTACGAGGGATTTCAAGGAAAGAAGAATTTTTTATCAATCCTATCATTGTCAAGGAAAGCTGAATAAAGTTAATTCTGAAATTACCTTTACCGACCTTACTCTCTCTAAAGGCTTTACAAGACCGATAGCTCCAAATAAACGGTTAGTTACGAACCAGTGCTTCAGTGTGCAGTCATCTCCATGCTATTTTCTTAACAGGTCTGGGTCCATCAAAGATGTGAAGACGACCGCTATCCGTGCCCGTTCTGTGGAAAGCCTTTTACTAAGCAATCTTATTTGGCACTACATTTACGGAGACACGTTGATGAAAGGCCGTATCGATGTGAACATTGCGGTAAATCTTTTGCACATCTCGCTTCACTCAAGGTAAACTTAAAATATTCTAAAAATTGCTCAAATTATATAGATCAGTTAGTTTGTAACTTCGATTACGAATTACTGATTGCGAGAAAAATGACTTAGGACGATGAACTTTTCAGTAATATCCTTGCAATAGTGTATGCAAAGAAACCTTTGGGATTTTCGATCATTTTTGTTTTGTTGTTGTATTCATAAAACAGTCATCCGTTGGCGTTATGTATACCCTAGGATTACCGTTCTCTTGCTTTTGTCAAACGCTTGCCTTCTGATAGGGTCACGTTACAATGAAGCACACCAAAGACTTTCGGTTTCGGTGCCCAATTTGTGATAAGGGATTTGTAAGTCGGGTAAAGACTTTGCACCACCTCGAACAGGCTCATCATTATTCAGCTGTAGCGGCGCGCATGGCCATGGGTGAAGGCCAGGAGCAGGACGGCAAAAACGCCGTCTTTGACGAGATTGAAGTTGAACATTCTTTCGATGAACCTAAAACTACTCTAGATGACAACGATATCCCTTTAACAAAAGCCACGGCGCAATTTTTAGAGGTATGTTTTGACACCAACAGTTGACACCTCTGTAGGGGGTGCTAATAGCAGACTTGATTTATGGAAGCTTTTAGTATTGTTGAGAAAATACTTTTTACTTATAGCACTCTGTGTGCCAACTGTCGGTGTATCACAGCTTTGAGTATCACCAGCAGAATAATTAGAAATGTTCTTTACGTATGCGTACTCTATACTACCATACGCATAAAATATGGCTATACCTGGTCAATACGATACGTACGTTTCACGTTGTAATTCTTCACATAACTTCATACTATGAACACTGCCACGGTGCTCTGTTCAAAAAAATGTGCTATCTTTAAATTAGCGTGCTAACGTGTTCATCTGTTACTTCGATTTCAGGAGGAAAACGGTAGCTATTCGGACTTTCGAACCATTACAGCAGAACGACATGATGAAATTAGGAAGGAAAACCAGTGCTTCCCGCGTTCTTCTCTCCAACATTATGGCAGACGTCCCGAAAATGTTCTAAGTATGGTGTCAAAAGTACCCTGTCTTCACGATTGTAAATATTGTTTGCGTTGCACCTATAATGAGTCAATATTATGCAAAATTTGACTTAAAATAGATACTTCACCCACACTGGGCTTATAGAATTCGTTGGAATATTTTGATAATACACATGACAGTAGGGTATGATAAAGTAATTCAATTTTGATGTTAAGGCAGTAAAGTTCACAAATAAGGCAGCAAAACCTTCACTGGACAAGAGTTTACACTGTCGCGCGAATATATTTAGCAAATACATACTAAAATGGTATCATCGCGTTGCGAATATTAATCCGGTGCCTGAAGGGATTTATCGTTTCTTATTTCGGTTTACGATCTTGCCTACATCAGATCATTTCATCGAGCAAGTGGGTCGCGATCAGGACAAAGCACACGAATTTATGGCCACAAAGGAGACTTCGACGGATACGGTACCGTCTAGTGCAATTGTCTCAATTGAGGATGGTCCAGAAAATTGCAGAAACGATGTTGGACCTAATGGTCCAGTAGAAATTTCGGAGCGCGGCAAAGACGTTAATACACCTTCCGAAGGTGAAGTTATATTAAACCATGCCGACGGATCACAGTCTTTGGTTCGATTACAGCCTGGGCAACAATTGTTACTTGAGGATGAGAATGGAGTCAAACAGGTTAGATAATTTATTGTTCAGGATAAAGATTTTTATTACATTCCTAGATCTTAAAGAAATATTAGTGATTCTTAAAATATTTTTTTTTGTAGAGTATGGATATATATATATATATATATATATATATATATATATATATATATATATATAATTAGAATTTGAAACTTCTTAGAGAGTTTGCGAAAAACTGAAAGGTATTCCTTGTTTACAGCCTTCACCTGTTTTGGTATTCTCAGGTAATTGACTATAATGATGTTGTTGCGTCTGCTGCCACACACGTCTGTAGCCACGGACCTCAAGTCGGAGGTACAATAGAAAGCGTCAACGCCAGGTTTCCTGTTTCAGTTCATGTACAAAGCGATAACCCGCAATAAGCACAGTCTGCTGGAACGTACCAAAGATGGTATTAACAGGCACGAAGACAACCTTAGTCAATCTCGTGCATTATGTTTAAGCTAATATAATGAAACCTATGAATAATGAATGACAAACAGTTTAAAGTCGAACGTATAGTATATGCTCAATCCTGTCGCAACCAATTTGTTAACGAAGTTCTTTTTCTGCTACTGAATCTTGGCGGCTCCTTCGTCACCAAGATATAAGCCACCAATAAGAAGTGCTTGTTGTTTGGACAAATACGTATGACTATAGTAAATATACTAAGCTTTCAAACTTATTTTAACGTGAGCTAGATAAGGCACTTAGTTGTTAAGCATACATGTAGCTTACAGAAGTGTATGAGATCAGTGGATGCAGGAACAAAAAGTATTGCTCTCAAATGTAATTTTACATTACAAAACGAAAGAAATAAACTTGAAGCATACTCCGTGATCCTTCAGGAAACGATATATTAAAGCGTCTTAGTTCACTTTTCTGTGCATTACGTATAAAAATGATAAGCATACCTGCAACTCATAATAGTAATTTATGTGACAGTGTTCGCCTGCTAGTGACCAAATATTTTGTATTTACCATTTTGTATTTAACAAATAGTTTCGAACCCCGTCATAGACACGTTTCATTTCGTGCTTGGAATCAGCCGTCTGATGGAATGGCTAACGGCGATAGTAAACGTGAAATTCGAAACATAGAGGTCCACTGAAAGATACATTTGACATGTCACGCTTTTGCCCCGCAACGGAATATTATTCAATCACATCATTCACTGAATGAAAATGCATTTAAAAAATGTATAATTGCGAGATAGACCAAAAATGACTTGCTTTTTCGTGTAGTGAACATATTAAAGTGGTTATGTAAGTCGCGTGTTTGGTCTCTTATGATTTTTGTAGACTATTAGTAGATCGTAAACGAAAAACTGTAACAAGCAAAGTCACGTATTGACAAAGTTATACATTGTATATGAAGAGCGAATTATCCGTTAGATCTTGTTTCTTAATAAAGATGACTTATACCTTCTAAAGAAATTGAATAAAATCTTAATGTAAAGCTCTCCATATTTTGGGGTAGATGGTCCATATATTTTTAAAATCCCTTTTTTATCTCAGTACTCATATTTTACAACTTCCTTGTTTTTGCTTATCTCTCTCCTTTCGAGGCGCGCGAAGCTTTGTTTGTTCTCTTTAGGAACTACAGCTAAATTCAGTGAAAACAACTTAATTGAATATATTAATGAGCCGAGATAATTGGCGGGGTCTCATACCTCGCTTGATTGCCCAAACAAATAACATAGGAGTGACATATATATTTCATATTCCAGCTAGTACACGAATTGGCTTCAAGTCTATTAGCCGGATAAAACAAAATCGATGTCCATTTTGAGGCACAATTAAATGCCGGAATGTATCCGAGAGAGTATTTATATTAACCCGTAACGGCGGTATGGCTGCTGCGGACAGTCATGAAACCGGTACGTTGTTGAAATACTTTGATGTGTACAGGTATAACCAACCGAACGAGGCTGCTTTCAATCCACCTATGCAGATTAATGCATACCTTAATAAGATCAAGTTTACCTTTGGGGATTTCGAGGGACTGAGCACAGCGAGTTTAATCTTATGCCAGATGAATTAACAATTCTTCCAAAAAAGCTGTGTGTTTAATCACAGTAACTTTGACTATTAGGCCTGCTCGTTTTTTGGTGTTAGAATAGTTCCCTCATTACTTAGACAATCGATGGCAACGGCTGATCATGAAAAAGACCACGCGTTCGTCACTAGAAAACTGCATACCTCATGCGAAGAGCTGCGCACCTTCTTCATGATACCAAAAGATGATCATTCATAGTATGTTTTTCGCCAACATCAAAGGAATCGTTTGATAGTTTCCAGTAGAGATTCAGCTTCTGAAAAAAGTTTGGGAGCTCCCAAAACACGACACTTAGAGGTATGGAATGGCTAGTCATTCGCATGGAATCGCCTGGAACGTCTGCACATAGTGCACCCAAATTACTTGTGCGCATGTGTCGAGCTTAACTATCACATTATTTTTGAAAAGGCAGCACTTCTAGGAATTAAAATTAGGACCGGTTGTACCTCAACAGTCAGACCTTCGGGGTCAAACCTCAGTACTTTGTCTGACCGAGCCGCTTGTGCTTCCGAGTTTTCTCAGATTTCGCGTTAGGATTTTTTCTGTATGTAATTTTTTTGGTTTGAAACTTAGACGCGTGTCTTTGGCGACTAGACGTTACCTTTAAGGTTTACTCCAGTAATCTTAAAACGTATTTGAACGATTAAGAAAAGTAAAGATCTACAGAAAGTTCAGAAAGCGTTTCTACTTGGTGTGTGGCAAATTAATTCTTGGCAGATTAATTAAATCCAGTCGGGAAATCGCTGCTTTAGAGCCTACGTACTTAGATCATTTATAAAGACTTCGGAGCTGCGTTTGATAAGCGGAAAAATTCCGAAACGATATTGCTGATGTGAGTGCCTCCCGCATCAGTTATTCATTATCGGAGGGCAACTAGTGCAAGAGGAGGTTCCCAAAAGGCCTTTTGGTTACAATTAAATGGAAAGATTGTCCATATGTGTGGATGGTCTTTTAGTAGAGAGATATTATGTCACTTCAATGCGTGGTAATCCGTTTCTCCGCGGTGCAACATTTTCTATTGAACTCAAACGTGATGTTGTGAGAGTTGTAGCTTCGAGTAAGATTTTATATATATATAAAATCTTACTCGAAGTTATAAATTTTATGACTTTTACACACTTCGACAGGCTAATCTTTTTATGTGGTGGCTACCGATATCGTAAATTATTCATTTATTTAGCGTTTGACCTGCTCTATATGTAAGCAAGGTACCTGTATTATATCATATAGCGCCCTTTTTAATGAAATAGCCCTTTGTATCATATTATTAGTCTAACAATTTTAATCCCCCTAGTTTAAGCGACATTAAATACTTGACGTCGTCAGAAACTAGAAATATATATATATATAAATGTAAAAGATAAAAGATATGTAAAAAATTTTACATATATATAAAGTGATGAGGTGATATTTCACTTGATGATCCACTATGATAACCTATTACATTTTCCTAAAACTGAATTGCATCACGACAAACCCTCGCATTCATTTTATTATGTACATTGAAGTATCACTTGCGATACCTAATCATATGTTCTCAAAGACGTTGGAGACCAAACCAAGCTAGTGTTATTGTAGTTATCCCGTCGACATACATCGAAATCAGTAGGTAGTACATTTCTAAGAAAAATTTCAATAAAGGCATAGGAAACAACTAAGGCAGAGCTCGAAGTTTATTCTATAGATCTGATATATAATCTTGCGTATAATACAGTGTATTATGTAATAAAACCTATATTATATAATAAAGATATTGATGCTCAATTACTGTCGCCGTATTAAATTTTTCTTAAGTCCCCAAATTAGTTTATAATGGCGTAATCGCTTGTCTCATTATGCAAAACACAGGCTGACACACAGAACTCAATTGTTTCTGTAGTAATCATACGGTTCTACGAGTGTGCGTAGTCGATGTTAAGTTCGAAGTTCGTTCGGATTTTCTTCTCGCAGCGCTGTTCACTGCTTCGACCAGCTAAACTCCGCGAGGCCTCCTTCCATTCTAGGAGTATGTTCAGCTTAACGAAGCAAAGATAAACTGCCGAGAAATCTTCGCGTTGGGCGACGTAGACAGGGCCCCTATTTGACCGTTGGGCATCTATTTTGCTGTTACGTTCTCCGGGTGTCGCGCTTGCTTGTTGCCGATAGGCCCGCATAGAAAATAAACCCAACATTGCTTATCCCCTGGCTATTGATGCGACTGGTTTCCTCCAACGAGAAGATCTCATTAACCGGTGCTTTCAGCGAAAGCAAGTCAACAGAAACCGAACGTAGCCTTTCGAAAAGGGCTTTCTCTAGAATAGCGTTCTGTGCATCGCGTTGTATAGAAGGGAAGCTAGGCGGATTTTCTTTTTGGAGAGAAAAAAGCGACCAGCAACACAGTCTCTGTATTGAGCGACTACCTTCTGTCTCCTTGTCAACAACAATAATATTCACTGTCGACTTGTCGCCAGCCTGCCAGTAACTACCCTTGATGCTTGTATCAATACAGTAGTATCAATACCTTTTTCATTAGTGAAAAGAGCCGAACTTTTCTAGTAAACACGAAGGACAGCAATTCGTTCTAGTTCAGTTGGTTTAACAATGCAGTACAAGGCACAACTTAAGTGGGTTAGAAACATTTGATATTAGTTTCTAGCGCAAAATAACATTGCCTACTCTTTACGCCTCTGGAGCAAATTAGTAGGACTATTCCTTGAGGAGGTTGCGTTTAATAGTTTGTTATTTATACACGCAGGCATCAGCAGGTTCAGCGTTATTCCTGCGCTCCTTTTAATTGACCTTTACCGGGCCAAACCTGAATACAGTTATATGTCCTAAGGATCAGGCGTTAACAAGCGTTAAAAAAACAGGATCACCACTGCCACGCATATGCTTGCCTCTAGCACGCTTAAAAAAGGTACGTGCTACATTCAGGACACATGGATTTAATGTCAATATGGAAGCGTGATGGGAGTAAACTTGCAATATTCGTGCCTAAATTAGGCTATATAGAAACTCTAGTCTGTTGTAGTGTTCAATTAACCTAAATGGAGAAATAAAGAAGGTACAAAAAAGTTGTTACAGGTGTTAGCAAAACTGTCTTTTTGCGAAGAACATTAAATATTAATTTCTATTTTCCCAAAACACATATAAGCTATTCTTTCTCCAGAAATTAAATATCCGTGCTTTGTCACTAGAACTAGGCCTAGATACAGAAAACAGCCAACTTCGGTTTCGTTCAATAATAACATTAACTACTGGCACTTGTTACTGAAAAATATACTTGAAATAATTTACTTGTGCGCTTCTTTCAGGACATGATTATATGCGCTTTTTTCGAATAGATGCGAATGTGTAGACGAACATGGGTTCAGGTTCGACTAAATAAAGCGGCCTGAATGAGTAGAATCAACTTAAGTTCTTGCTTTGCTCAGATCTAATGCTCATCTGAATATCTCAGGGTTACTGTCCCTGTAAAGCAAACATAGCTTTGACACTTACCTCTCGAAAAAAATGGCACAATAAGGCGGTATCACCATGAGCATACACGTATTCATGGACATGGTAATAAGACCAGCCAGAACGAAGGTCAACGGAAGGCCCCAGTTGAAACCAGTGTAAAGTCTCAGTAATTCTTTGATTCAAAGTGTCCTTAACCTACTCATCATCCTACTCCGAGATCTTCGGATGGCAGGGTCATCAAGTCTACATAAAAACTCCAGGAATCTATAACGAAGTCAATTCCGATATATAGTAAAGCTCGGGCTCTAAAACTCAAAACTGATTACGACGAATAACAAACTATAGTGTATCATTTTTATATCAACCTTCCCTATTGCAGTTACTGATTATATATATATATATATATAGCTGCACTATTTATGTTTGACGCCACTAGTTTTATATATTTAGCACAATAAATTTGATAACAGAAAGAGAACCAGAATCCTTATTCAGGATCGAGCGGGTCTATACAGAATGGTTGCATCTTGCAATGGTCTAAATTATATAATAATAATAATACGAAATAGCTTTATATAAAGCTATTTTGTTTCTATATATGGAACGCGCTCAGTTCACCAACAAACTGGCGTATCTTGCCAGTAATAAATAAGTAATGATAAAAGCAGGAGAAATAATGCTTTGTTTCCATGTGCACTGCGTAATAAATCTGGCAAACTTGAAATTTTTGAACTAGTTGAGCTCTAAGGATGTTGTTTCAATGTAAGTTATAATAATGTGAGTATTCTCCTTTTTGACACATTTGTTCTAGTACTCAGACCATACTTCTATCATTCACGTTCTAATATGCTATATGCTTAGGCTTCTCATTCAGGATGAAAACAAGAACCAAACTGTGTTTTTTGAGGAACCTAAGATAGCGAACCGTATTCATTGTTTTATATTAGACTACAATTTCAAAAGTTCCAAAGAATGCGAAAATGCGCAAAATATCCGGAAAGATGATACTGTCCGAGTTTACCTGAGCGATCAAGCTAGTAATTGATGTCCTTGTCTCCAAAAGAGACAGTAATTTACCAGTATAAAGTTGTATTTAAAAAAAAAGTGACTTTTTGAGTTTAAATTTAAACTCTATTTTGACCATATTCTGGTTTGCTACATGAAAGTCTTCTTCCGATTTTTCTGACGCCCCATGAAGACTGACAATAACGTAAATCATTAATTTTATTTAAAAAGAAAAGTGCTCAATCTCAATAAGAATCTGTCCAGTGTAAAGGCATCGGATAATAGCAGAATAGCTGATCTCGACTCAAATTCCGAAAACAACGCACTGTTGTTCGTCATGATAAGTTCGTTTTTTTTTAGAAAGGATGGTTTTATTTTGGTACCAGAAATAGCATGTTCATTACGACAAACAGTTTGCCAAGGTGTTATATATA